TAGCAGTTAGAACACATCTAATTTACCTTGTTTCCATCTTGCCAGCCCTACTCTGTTATTTTCTTTCTATTCTCTCTTAGATGGAAAATAGAACACCTCCCAGAGCACACTGTAATCCTACTATCTGGTATATCTCCATCCTTCCATGTGTACAAACTCATTTTCGGCATATACTTACTAAACTAGTAAGCTGTTGGATTCATTAATAAGGTAATGATGCTTAGCTGAGTGCAAATGAAACCAGAGTGAAAATAATAGTGTTCAAGGAGGGAATAGAAGCTCATGTGATGGCACATACCTGTAATACTAGCACTTGAGAGGCTGAGGCAGAAGGATCGCTACAAGTTTGAGACCAGACTCTGAGCTACAAAATGAGTTCAAGTCTAGCCTGAACTGCATAGTGAAACCCTGTCTCCACGTGATCTTGGCCAAAAGGCCAAGAAACAATTAAAAACACACACACAGGGAATAGTAAAAAGAAAGAATGAAAGAGCAATTAATCTCCCATAATAAATAAAAATTACAACCATTTGAGGGTTATGACTTAGTCCTACATTACAAAAAAAGAAAAAAAAAAAAACAGAAATTGGGGAATACAAGAGGATCCTTACCTTCAGTTACTGATACTATATACTGATACTATATACTTTATATGCTACTGGGGTAAAGGGATCTGAAAGTGAAAAGATTCCAAGAAAAAGGAAGGCCTATTTAGGACATTCCTGTTTACTCTGTAATTAGACACAATAAGAAGTTGGAATCCAGGATCTTTATGTTTGACATAAGAAACGTCATGCGAGGTATGGTGGTGTATACCTGTAGTTCCAGCACTAGGAAGGCTGTTGCAGGAATATCATGACTTCAAGACCAGCTTAGGGGGGCTGGGGATTTAGCTCAGCGGCATAAGCGTCTGCCTTGCAAGCAGGCAGTCGTGAGTTCAATCCCTGGTACCGATAAAAACGAAAAAGACAAACAAAAAAGACCAGCTTAGAGTACATAGTTAAGACTATCTAGGGTCGGGGAGTACGCAGTACAACAAAGCAGTTAAGAAGAAGCTCTTAATAGGTGTGGTGCAGCCCTGTAATCCTAGCTCTGGGAGGTTGACACAGAAGCCAAGCCTGAGTGATTTAGGCACTTAGACCCCTAAATTAATAAAAATTAATAAAAACAAAAAGGGTCAGGCATGTAGTTCAGTGGGAAGGGCCTGGCTCAATCCCCAATACTGCAAATAGTTTAATTTTTAAAAGGGCTACCCTGGGTTCAATCCTCAGTACTACATGAGGGAGAGGGAGAAATAGAGAAAATGGAGAAGAGGGCAGAACACAGACTGAGAAATTAGTAGTAGATTCAAAGATATTTTTTGTAGGCCCAGATCCTTATATACTGCCAGCAGAAGAAACTCTGATTAAGACTATGATTCACTCAAGCTTGCTAGAAAATATCCATCATAGCAATTCTTGGGTATAAACTAAAGCAAAAATCTCATTATCTTACATATAGTTAACCCTACCTTTCACCAACTCATTCTTCCAATGACCACAAAACTCAATAGTGTTCTTGTACACCAACAATGAATTCATTGAGAAATATCTTAGGAAAATAATATAGTCACAATAGCATCTAGAAAAACTAAGTAGTAAAGAATTAACCTAAGGGGCTGGGGATTTAGCTCAGTGGCATAAGCACCTGCCTTGCAAGCAGGCGGTCGTGAGTTTGATCCCCAGTACCCGATAAAAATGAAAAAGACAAAAAAAAAAAAAAAAAAAAAAAAAAAAAGAATTAACCTAATCAAGGGAGTGAAAGCCCTCTACAATGAAAACTACAGTACTCTGAAAAACGAGATTGAAAAGACCATCAGAAAATGGAAAGAAATTCCCTGCTTCTGGATAGGTAGAACCAATATAGTCAAACAGCCATACTTCCAAATTGATAGATTTAACACAATCTCAATCAAAATACCAACAGCATTCCTCACTGAACTAGAGAAAACAATCATAAAATTCATACGGAGCCACAAGAGACCCAGAATAGCAAAAGGAATCTTGGGTACCATGGGCAAAGCAGGAGGTATCACAATTCCATACCTGAAGTTATAGTACAAAGTTCAGAGTGGCCTTGAACTCACTATGTAGCTTGGGTTGGCCTCAAACTTGCGATAATCCTCCTGTCTCAGCCTCCTGAACACTGGAATTATGGGCGTGTGTCACCATCATAAAACATACAATCAAAAGATGGGCAACTCAGGCTGGGAATATAGCTCAGTGATACAACATCTGCCTGGCAAGCACAAAGTTCTAAGTTTGGTTCAAAGAAAGGGCAACTGAAATGAATAAACATTTGTTAGAAGGAGCACAAATGGCTAACAAATATGTAAAACTGTTCAATATCACTGGGCTGCCAGAGATGAAAATTAAAACACTGAAACTGGGCATGTTGGTGGAGCCTGTAATCCCAGTACTCCGGAGACTGAGTCAGGAGAATTCCCATGAGGTTGAGGCTAGCCTGAACTATAAGGTGAATTTCAAGATCCTATCTCAAACCCCCCCAAATAAAAAACAAAACAGTATAAAATCAAAAAGAATAAAAAGAGTATAAAATAAACAAAAATAATACTAAGATTCCATCTCACTCCAGTAAGAACGTCCATCAAACAGGAATCAAATAACAACAAATACTGGCAAGGCTACGGTCAAAAAGAAACCCTTCTCTACTGTTGGGGGGGAGTGTAAATTGGTACAACTATTATGGAAATTAAAGGAGATTCCTCAAAACACTAACACTAAAAATTCCATTTGACCCAGCAATTCGTCATCTAGATATCATTCCAAAAAAGTTAAAGACGTCATACTGCAAAGATACATGCATACCCATGTTTATGGCAGCACAATTCATAACAAGCTAAATCTTGGAAGCAGCCTCTTCAATAGAAGAATGGATAAAGAAAATGTGGTGGCTCATGCCTGTATCTCAGCACTTGGGAGGCTGAGGCAGGAGGATCACTGTGAGTTCGAGACCAGCCTAGGCTACAAAGTGAGCTCAAGGCCAACCTGAACTGCACAGCAAGACCTTGTCTCAAAAAGACAAAAAAAAGAAAGAAAAGAAAAAAGAAAATGTAGCATTAATACACAATGGAATACTTCTGTACCATATAGAAGGATAAACCTGAGTCATTAGCAGAAAATGGAATAAATCTGTTGCACAAGTTTAAATATTGCATGATTTCCTTTATATGAGAAACCCACAATATAAATAGTAAAATAAAAAATAGATAACAGAAATAAGATATGTTAAGTACATGTACCAATTCCCCACAAGGAAAGCAATTCATGTAATGCAAGTAAGTACTAATAAAAATCAAAAATTTCACCAAGTTATGTTTCTGAGAAGAGAATATGACACCAAAATTTTAAGCATAACTGTTGATGTCTCTTCCACCTCACTTTTCCTTTTCTTTGTTTTTCAATACTACCAAAGGAATTAAACCCAAGGCCTGGGCATTCTAGACAAGTGATACCCAAACAGGATTCCAAAGCTGGTTGTGGTGGCCAACAACTGTAATCCACAGTTCAAGGCCAGTCTGCATCACAAAGTGAGACCCTGTATCAAAAAACCAAACATCCTAAAAAAGGGTTCTGCTAAGATGCTAAAACTGGCCTCAAACTTGAGCTTCTCCTGCTTCAGCTTCTCAAACAGCCAGGATTACAACTGTGTACCACCATACCAGGTCAACAATGGGTCATCAAAGTAAGTCTAAAATCTTTCAGACACTATCTAATCAGAGTTCTTAAGGGCTGATACATCAGAAAACAGAGATATAAGATGTTAGTTTCTTTAAAAATACCGTCAGAGTTTGGGGACACAGCTTAGTGGTAGAGGGCTTGCTTAGCATGCCCGGATTCCAAACCCAGCACCACAAATAATGCCTTATGGTACTGTATTATAAGTCTACAATGAATCTTATAAGTATAAAAAAAATTGTGTATTTCCCATAAATCTTTCATCATGCTTGTATTGCTGATTTCTGTAGTACTTACCTTTTCAACTAACTTTTCTCAACTTTCTTTTTATTGAAATTCCTCTATTTTCTCTTTATATATCAAAGTTTTTTTTCCTCACCCTCAATGCCCTTGTTCCGTTTCTTCATTCTTTTCAGCCGCTCATATTCCATTACTTCCTCCGATGTTGATTTCACCCTTTACTGGTTGCTTTCCATCGTCTATGAACATGCTCTTTTTTTTTTTTTTTTTTTTTTTTTTTTTGAGACAGGGTCTCCCTATGCAGTTCAGGCTGGCCTTGAGCTCACTTTGTAGCCCAGGCTGGTCTGGAACTCGAAACGATCCTCCTGCCTCAGCCTCCCGAGTGCTGGGATTACAGGCATGTGCCACCACGCCCGGCTGAACATGCTCTTCTTGACCAACTTAAACTTACATCCTTCTATTCTCCTCAAAATTAATCCTTGCCTAATTCATGTTACAAAGTCTTTTTTTTTTTTTTATCGGTACCAGGGATCAAACTCACGACTGCCTGCTTGCAAAGCAGATGCTTATGCCACTGAGCAAATCCCCAGCCCCTACAAAGTCTTTTATACAGTATCTTTATCGCCAATACTTTTTGTTTTGGCAAGGGGGCTTGTAAGTTGCCCAAAGAAGAGCTACCCCTGGCAATCTGTAGATGGCCTCTCGCATAAATAAGAGTGGTTGAGAATGCTTGTTTTACCTCGTTACCATTATTTCCTGACACCGCAGCACATTAATGTAGAAGTAGCATCAACATGGTAACACTATATACTTTCCACAAATGGGTCTGGTTAATTTGTACATAAACACTGAAAACACTCTATTCCCAACACCATCTACTTAGATGGTCGCTTTTAAAGAATCCAGGATAGACTCCCTAGATTGGTTACAACTCCCAACCGGCATTCCTTCCACCTCACAACCAAACCTTGTCGCCACCGTGGGGCACCATTATGATGACGAGCCCCCCAACCCCCAACGCACCTGAGTGACCATCCCTGAGGCCACAAGGTGGTTCAGCAGTAGCCCAGCGGCATTGGGCTCTGAAGCTGGCTCCCATGGGTTAGCAGCAGCCATTCTTTTTCGCGCCTCCCAGGAGCTAGCCTGGGATGAGTGGAAGGCCAGGCGCAGGCTCGGCGCGGTCAGATGACGTCACTGCGCGGTCCAGTGCGGGCGGAAGCTTTGGGAGCGCATCCCAGACCAGCGCGGGTCTAGGATCTGCTGCTAGGGAACCTTCTCTTTTCCGAGCGGCCAGTAGCGAGTCCCGGAATTCCTGGTCCTCCAGAAACTCCAAAAGGCGAGCTTCAAAATCTGCAGGAATTTGGAACCGGGCTGTGTGTTCTTCCTTTTCTGCCTCGATCTTCTAGGCTGGCGCCCAGGATCCAGGGTTCACAGAAGGTGACGCCTGAGGTGGACACCGTAACAGGAGACTTACAGGGTGGCGGTGCGACTAGACTGAGCAGTGACAGCAGCTTTCCCTCCCACAGGGACCTGAAGCGCGGCACTAAGATGGGAAACAGTGCCCTCCGCGCTCATGTGGAAACGGCGCAGAAAACCGGTGTCTTTCAGCTTAAGGACCGTGGACTGACTGAGGTGAGACTGAGAGGGACTAGACTGGGACCTTGAGGGAGAGGGATCTGGGGCGGCGAAGTTAATCAGAGAGAGGGTCTGCCTGCTGTCAACTTCTTTCTCCAGTTCCCCGCAGAGTTGCAGAAGCTCACGAGCAACCTTAGGACTATCGACTTGTCCAACAACAAGATCGAGAGTCTCCCGCCTCTGCTGATAGGGAAGTTTACTCTGCTGAAGAGCCTGTCGCTGAACAGCAACAAACTAAGTATGGCTTCTGCGCCTAATCAGCGGTGACAAGGGGGTGGTTTTTCTGCTGCAAGCCTATTTTTTGTTATTATGAAACTATTCAGAGGACTCAAGATAGAGAATACCAGGTTCCAGGAAACTTTTACCTATTATTGTATCTTCAAGCCTCCGTGGGTGGTATGATTGTTAGCGGGCTAATTTGGACTTCAAAGGGAAGATCTTTGGGATGTGATGTAAACAAAGTTACCTAATTTGGAAAGGGGGTTAGAACAGGAAGGGGAGGCTTTCCCACATCTCACAAAACTGCTGTCAGATTGTGCCTAGGCCCCTTTAACAAGGAGCTCATTGTACACATAAATGCTGCTGCATTTTGATGGCACCATCACCTTCTGAACACCTTTTGGTAAAATGCAGTATCTAAAGTGGCACATGTGACAATTCTACATTTATTAATAAGAGGGGAAGCAGGCTGCTGTGTAGTCTTTAATAAACTTCATCACAGGTATTGTTTTATTGGGTTTAAAAATTTTTTTCTTTACCAGCTGTTGTACCTGATGAGTTATGCAATCTGAAAAAACTCGAAATGCTTAGTCTAAACAACAATCACCTAAGAGACCTGCCAGCTACCTTTGGGCAGCTCTCTGCCCTCAAGACCTTGAGCCTGTCTGGGAACCAGTTGAGAGCACTGCCACCCCAACTTTGTAGCCTCCGGCACTTGGATGTCTTGGATCTCTCTAAGAACCAGATTCGGAGTATACCTGACCTCATCGGGGAGCTGCAGGTTATTGAGCTCAACCTCAACCAGAACCAGGTCTAGAGCTTGTGGTATTTTGGTTGTTTTTGTTTTTCTTCTTAGTGTATGTTTTGGGTGTACGGTCTCTTGATAATCTCTTGTCCTCTAAACTGTAACATGAATTGGATAACAAAGGCTAGATGGGAGTTATATTCTACAAACTGAATTAATTTCAAAGTACACAGTGTCATGGGTGGGTGTGTTGTGTAGGTATTTGGAGGAGGATGGGAAAGGTAACAGTAAAATAATTTCAAAAGTAAGTTATTAAAAGTCATGTGTGTGTGTGTCTGTGTGTTTGTGTATGTGGTGTTTGGGATCAAACCCAGGGCTTGGCCATTATAGTCAAGTGCTCTACCAAAAACTTCATCCCCAGCTCAAAAATATTTAAATAGTATAATCACCAGACATGGTGAAATACTCCTATAATCCCAGCACTCAGGAGGCTGAGGCAAGAGGAGTACAAGTTCAAAGTGAGCCTGAACTACATAGTGAGATTGTCTCAAAAAAAACAAAAGCAAGCAAACAAAAATAATTAATACAGTGTTCCTTTGATATACATGGTGCCATGGTATGCAATGTGGTGGTGTGCTGTTTTTGTTTTTTGAGATGAGCGCCTCACTATGTTACCCAAGCAGGCATTGATTGCATTTGCAATCCTGCCTCAGCCTCTGGAGTAGCTGGGATTACAGTCATCACCATCATGCCCACTGGCCCCCAAGTTTTTCAGGACTTCTCAGACATGGCCCTACCCTACCTACCTAGTGAGGAGTTGTACTAGAGATATAGTGTGGAAATGAGGCTTAAAGTCATAGGTTCTGAGTTGGACGTCAGAGGCTGTTTGCTTTTTTGTATCTTTGTTGAATATGTGGCCTTTTTCTGAAAAATTCTTAAGTGACAGGCTTTCTAAAGTTGTCCTTTTTTTTTTTTTGATAGTTATAAAATTTGTTTCCATTACTTTGGAAGAATTTGGTTATATACCTGTGTGGAGGAAAAAAAAATTTGGTTTACACACAAAACACAAGTGACGAGACATTAAACATTGAGAGATTGGGAATCCTTTAGGTTTTCTAGCAGCTCTTCTAGATCTGCATTGTCAAATGTAGTTAGCTACTAGCCATGTGATTATTAGTGTTTTAGATTGTTACTGATCTTCTATGTGATTAGCCTTTTTTTTTTTTTTATCGGTACCAGGGATTGAACTCACGACCACCTGCTTACAAGGCAGATGCTTATGCTGCTGAGCTAAATCCCCAGCCCCATTAGCCTCATTTTTCTACATGATTTTTTTTTAGGAAGTCAGGTATGGTGGTACACCCCTGGAATCCCACCACTTAGAAGGGTGAGGTGGGAAGAGCACTAAATTTTGAGGCCAGCCTGAACTACACAGTAAAACCCTGTCTCAAAAACCAGTTGGATACGGAGGCACACACCTGTAACCCCAGCACTTGGGAGGCTGAGGCAGGAGGATTGTTGCAAGTTCGAGACCAGTCTGAGCTACAAAATGTGCTCAAGGCCAGCGGCAAAGGCAAAAGAGGTGAATAAATCAGAGAGAATTGTTTTGTGTTTTGAGAACCTGGAGCAGTGATGGCAAATGTTTCATATCTAGCTTTAAGTCCTAAACAGCCACTGTGGCATGCATGCCATAGGTTCACCACCACTGGCCTAAAGGAACAGTAGTCTGAATTATGATAAATCATGTACTCAAAGTTGATGGTTAGAAATGGTTTACTTTGGAGGGGCTCGGGATTTAAAGCTCAGCAGTATAAGCGCCTGTCTTGCAAGCAGGCAGTTGTGAGTTCGATCCCTGGTACCGATAAAAACGAAAAAGACGACAAAAAAAAAAAAAAAAAAAAAACAAAAGGGGCTGGGGATTTAGCTCAGCGGCATAAGCGCCTGCCTTGCAAGTAGGCAGTCGTGAGTTCGATCCCCGGTACCGATAAAAAGGAAAAAGACAAAAAAAAAAAAAAAAAACGAAAAAGACAAAAAAAAAAAAAAAAAAAAATGGTTTACTTTGGGCCAGGGGTTTAGCTCAGTGGCACAAGCACCTGCTTGGCAACTGCGAGGTTGTGATTTAATTCCTGGTACCAACAAAAAAGGTTTTGCTTTTAGTCAAAGACATAAAGGTGAAATAGAGATGAGTAGATAGAAATACAGGTACAGATTTTGAGGTCATAACTGAAATATAGCTTTAAAGATAACTGAGCTTTCTACATGGGTTCAAAGAGAAGATTAAGAAGTATCAGCCTACTGCTTGAGAAATATCCAAAAAGCTAAAAATTAGAGATAATTCAAAAAGAGGTTGAGGCAAGAGGATTGTTAATGAGTTTGAGGCCTGTGTGGGTTACAAGTGAGCTCAAGGCCAGCCTGAACTGTACAGCAAGACCCTGTCTCAAAAAAGACCAAAAAAAAAAGAAAAAGGATATGTGTACCAACTCCCTGAAATGAATGTAATCAGTATGTACTGAAACATATACTAAAAGTTATTAAAATTTTTTAAGAGATAAATAATACAAATACAAAAGAAAATGAGATTAAACATATACAAATAACAAAAAAATGAGGATAAATCCTTGTCTACAGCAATGAAGTGGTTGGTATCTGTACTCACAATAGAACGGCAGTAAATGTACCAAATGTACCAAATGATGTTATTTCTGATTACAGGTAATTTTTCTTTAAACTTATGTGATTCTCACATTTTCCATATGAACATTCTTTTCTTAGGAAATTTTGTTTCCAAAATGCCTCTAGTGACCTTCAGAAAAAATTTTATTTTTGAAGTGGAGGAGTAATAACAGAAGGTACATAATGGAGGCGTCTGCAGTGAGTAGGTAGTGAGAAAAATGGACATGGGAAAAGAAAAAAGAACTAGGACAAATAGTCAAGATGTTTTGCTTTGTTTTCCTGTAATAAAAAGTTATAATTATAAAGCTTCTGTTTTTCCCTTTATTTTTTCGCTCTTATTTTCCATAGATATCTCAAATCTCAGTAAAGATATCTTCTTGTCCTCGCCTTAAAGTTCTTCGCCTGGAGGAGAACTGTCTGGAACTCAGCATGCTTCCACAGAGTATCCTCAGTGATTCCCAGATCTGTCTGCTTGCTGTAGAAGGCAATCTTTTTGAAATAAAGAAACTTCGAGAACTGGAAGGCTATGATAAGGTATGTACTGAGTCAGTTTACAGTGCACCCATGAAATTCACAGGGGTTATGTTCCTAGAGCACCCATAAATTGTGACAAATCTCAAATTTCAGATACGGTCAGAAAAATGCTTATAAATACCTATTGTGCTACTGTGGCACAACCTTTTAGTTCCTGGAGAAAATCCAGTAATTCAGCCTCCTGTAGTATCTTAAACTTGACACTTAAACTTGATTTAGGTTCACTACCAGAAACCTTAGAAAGTTTTTGGTGGGGATCTTAGGCTTTTAAAAACAAAATCAGGGGGCTGAGGATTTAGCTCAGTGGCATAAACGCCTGCCTTGCAAGCAGGCAGTCGTGAGTTTGATCCCTGGTACCGATAAAAAGGAAAAAGACAAAAAAAAAAAAAAAAAAAAAAAACTTGAGGTAGCTGTAGGTAGTACAGCAACCTATTATGATGTAAGGAATAATGGTGTCAAAGATGGATTACAGGGCAGCAGCCAGTCAACAGCAAGAACGAAATAATGCTCTCAGACTGGCTATTGTCTTCCCCCATGAAAAATTGTGGTGGATACTTGCCGGGGTTTCTATGAACAATTAGTAGTTAGGTTCTAAGGAAAAATCCAGCAGTGACCAAAACTAGGAATTCTGAATTGTGACATCACTAGGGAGTATACTGTATATCTGCTTTTCTAGTCACTAGCCCACAGAAGACAACACTGAGGTAACCCATATGAATGTGTGGCTAATAAGCCTTTAGGTTTTTGTTTGTGGTTTTTTGAAAAAGGGCCTCACTATATGGTTCAGCTGGCCTTGAACTCGCAGCAATCCTCCTACCTCAGTCTTCTGGTTGTTGGGATTGCAGGCATGAGCCACCATGCCCAGCTAGCTAACAGGTTTTGCTCTTCCCCATTTTGGAGATGACAGAACAGGGCAAGTGGTACTCTGCTGAGTTGTCTATGAGTCAGCTCACTGTAAATCATCTTTGATAGATTTTGTATTATTAAACTACAATTTTAAAAAAATTAACATGCTTTAGATTTGCATTTAGAATTAAGTAGGTTTTGTAGAAAATGGATCAAATCCAAAATAAATAAAAATGGAAAATAAAGAAATGTGGCTCAGTGGCAGAACACATGATTAGCTTGCATGAGGTTCTGAGTTTAATCCTGAGTACTACTGGAGGGGGGGAGAATTATAGAACAAAAAAATCAAAGCTATCTAAGTAATAAACAGGCTTATGTGCTTTTGCCAAAATATCACATCTGTATTCTTTCATGATCTTCAGTACATGGAGAGGTTCACAGCCACCAAGAAGAAGTTTGCATGATCTCCAGGTTTGTGGGAATCCTTCAGGACACTAGCACGGAATCTTGCTTGGAAACTGGCTGTATCAGAGACTCTTGTTATTCAGGATATTTGCAGGAAGAAGACAACACTCCAGGAGTTCATAGTTCACTCAGTAATCTTCCCTTTCAGGCTCTCACATAAGCCAAAAGAAAAGAAGTCAGGTAACATGAAGAATGCTCCACTTTGGATTTTGATAGGGTAATGGACAGTGTTGCTCCTCAACACCAGTATCTAGTTGCTATTTATAAGGTGCAAGGTGCTGCTTGTTAGCAGAATAGCCACACCACAACTTGACACTATGCTTCATTTCAACGTGAGCTTTCAAAGAGCTGTCTGCCACACCACCTATGTGTTCATGCTTCATGTTTTTATGAAATTCATGTAAGTTATGAGAAGCTGGTATGGTTAATCCTAGGATTTATTATTCCAGTGCATCAGTTGAGTTGCAATGTTTATACTCTGAGTTTGGGACCTATGTGACTGACTTGACTAAAGTGTGCTTTAATTAGAGAAGCACCAATACCACTGAAGGCTGCAGTAGCAATTTCTTTACTATTGCAGGTGCCTTATTGGTGGGGGGCTCTGAAGAGCTAAACCTGTATATGCAAACTTATAAACACTTATAAAATATAAGAGAGACTGTAATAATCAAGATTTTCCTGAAGCTTTGTTTAAAAATTATGTCTTATTTCTGGCAGTCTTTCTCTTTTTTTGTATTTATAACTCTACTAATAAAATTACCTTTAGGAAATAATTGCTACGATATTTTTTAGATGACTTGTATTTATTAAGTTTACTCTCTGAATGAGAATGATTAAATAAATAATTTTTAATGAATTTTGGATGTAAGATTGTTTAAAGAAGACAGAATTGTAACTTGTAAATGGTCCTTTGTTCTTTGATAATAAACTGCCTGTACTCTGGAAGCTGAGGTAGGAGGATCACAAAGTCAAGACAGGCCAAGACACTCAGCGAGAGCCCATCTCAGAAAATAAAAAGCTGCCACACACATCCTATCACTCTGGAGGCTGAGGCAGGAAGATTGCTGAGAGTTCAGAGGCCAGGCTAGCTATACAGTGAATTCAAGGTCAGGCTGAGCTACACCATAAGAGCCTGTTTATAAAAAAAAAAAAAAGGCATAAAAACAAACAAAAAAACCACCTGGAAAAATAAACATTGTGGCAACAAATTAAGGGCTGTGGATTAGCTCAATAGAAAAATGCCCCTGGCCATGATCCTCAGTACCATATACACAAAAAATTTGGGGGACTGGGGGTACCAGGAATCAAACTCATGACCTTGTGCTTGCCAGGCAGGTGCTTTGTTGCTGAGCTATATCCCTGGCCCCCCTCCTAAATTTTTTAAAAACTAAACTAGGAAAAAATACTTTACACTCTTGTTCAGGTTTTATGACTAATAAAATGCCTTAAAATAAAATCATTGGTGTGTCCAATGATACTTATTACTAGCATTTAGTGGTACAAAGGTAGAAGGATTTCAGACTGTCATGCAAACATTTAAGAAGCTACAATTTTGATCATTTTCCAAAGTTTTAATCTTACATAAGGATATACTGACAGTTCTCAAAGATGGTTTTTTAAAATCATAAGAGCCTACTCATCTGTATGGTCTAGGGATTTTGTTCTGTATGCTACTTTCCCTGTTTCTCAGCCTGGGTATGGGAGGTACCAGTTTACCAGCATCAATTGCAGAGTTTTGTTTTTTTCTAAACATTAATTTTTATTATTCTTCATAAACTGAATAGCTTTCCTTTAAATATTTTGTAAGTATTTCTCATCTATCAATCAGAACTTACAAATGTAACAATTTTAATGTACTTAGTTATTAGAGTAGGGTGAGGGGTATAGCTCAGTGGTACAGTGCCTGCCTGGCAAGTACAAAGACCTGAGTTCAATTCCTGGTACAAAAAAAAAAAAAAAAAAAAAATTATGGTAGTGTTCCACCTGAGCATGGTGGCACATTCCTGTAATATACCAACACTCAGGAGCCTGAGGCAAGAGAATCATTGCAAGTTTGAGGCCAGCCTGAGCTAAATAGTGAGATCTTGACTTCAAAAAAATAACTGTTCCCCACCCCTCTCAGAACCAGTGACTATCACTTTGTGATTTGAATCCAGCCATATTTTCAGATGCCTTTTGTTAACTTATTTTGCCCACTCAACCACACCAGATTATTCTGTTCCTTAAGCCTATGGTGCAGTGCCTCTTTTTGGGCTTACTTTGTGTTCAGGCAGAAATGCTATTTTATCATGAACATGCTCCTTCCCTGCATCTGAGCTCCTACCCTAACACTAAGCCGAATAAACTGTTCTCCCATCTGCCACTGTAACAGCTCTTGCATTCTATATTTATCTCTCTTTCCAGACTGACATGGAGGTCAGGGGCTATATAAAGAACTATGCCAGATGGGTGTGGTGGCACACATCTGTCATCCCAGCACTCTGAGAGGTTGAGTCAGGGGGATTATAAATTTGAGGCCAAACTGAAAGAAATATAAAAAAGGAAGAGAGGAGTCATCGAAAGTTACAGTGAATAAGATTTAGACTTATTTATGAGTTAAAGTAGACTGACTTGTAGAGACCCTGACTCTAGCTTGCCGACCAGCCTATGTCAACTAAAATTTTAGATCATGGTTAAGAAGTCAGTGTAGCACAGTAAATTAACAAGCCCTGGAGTCAGAAGGATCTGGTTTGTATCCAGAGTCCTTACCTTACAGCTTTTTTGAGCCATTTACTCTCATTTATAAGTATGGGAACTATATTCTACCTCTTATGCATGTCACAAACGTATGGTAAAAAGATACATAAAAGCAGGTGGTACAGTGCTCCTGACAGAATAAGCACTTAATAAGTCACATTATTTACTCTATGAGGCATTAAAAGGATAAAAATGGCTACAATTTAAGAAAGTTGAATATCAACTTGAGAAAAACATAAATTTGATTAGGAATGTAATTCTGGATAACCCAGAATTTTGGTAAGAATAACCTGAAGAAAACAGCATTAAAGAAACTAATTCTAAGTGTACACAATGTAGGATTTTGGGATGTACATGTTTAAAGAGAGACTGAGTCATAATCCACACAGGACATGGGAAGATACAGCGTTGAAATGTAGAATCAAATGATAAATTAAAACTGAAGAAAAAAATAAGTGAAGCTATATAGGATACAGATCTTTCTCTGACCAAGTGTGGTGGTTCACCCCTATAAATCCAACTACTTAGGTGGAAGCAGGATAACAAATTCAAAATTTTCAGTGTTACAGGAGAGGAAATGAACAAGTGGTTTCAAGTCAATACCTTTCATTTTGAGTGCATTATTATGGGCCTAACTTCTAGGGCCTCAGTTCTCTCCTTTCTCAGTAGCAGAAGCTGTGCAAGTTTGCAACCTGGGATCTAGGAGTAGACTTAGAAGACCTTAATGATCCTCATGCAAGATTTACACTTGTGGGAAGAGATGTACTGTCTTTCATTAAAATGACAAACAGATTTTGAAGACAAAAGGTTCTACCTTAGAGAAAGCAGCAGCTGTCACATATTAAACTCTTACACCTCCCAGGCACTATTCTAAGAGATTTACAGGTGTTAACACTGTAATTCTAAGCAGGAATCACTAAGCCTCACTGCCAGACTAGGAAACCAAGGCACACAAAATGAGCTTAGAGTTAACTCCAAGCAGCAAAAGCTAAAGTCTGAATCCAGACATTTAATGCCTTAGCACAAGCTTCTAAGAAACATTTAGTTACTGGCTTACTTTAAGAAAACTTGCAGGAGTTGGAAAACAGCGACGAAGGACAAAACAATTGTGCGTAATGACCCAGTTTTTCCCCTTCTAGGATTTTCTCAAAGAGTTAAAAGTCATTATATCATAGTTACACTTACAATTTTAAGTGTGACTTATAATACTATTTATTATACTATATAATACTACTTATTATCAGTGTGACGTACAGGGGCTGGAGGTTTAGCTCAGCGGCATAAGCGACTGCCTTGCAAGCAAGGCAGTCGCTGAGTTCGATCCCTGGTACCGATAAAAAGGAAAAAGACAAAAAAAAAACCCAACCAAACAAACAAACCAGTGTGACTTACAATACAATTTATAATACTAAATTTTGGAAACAATCCATATGTCCATCAACAGATAAATGGATAAAGAATGGATACTTTAGGCATTTTTAGGTAAATGGATGTACCTCAAGACCATAATCTTAGGTAAAATAAATCCAACACAAGTTTAAATATAGCATTGTTTCTCTAGTGCGAGAAACCCAAAATATAAAGAACAAAACAAAGGACAGATAGTAGGATATAGGAAAAACTTTTTCAAATGGCAAGAGGAACAAGAGATAGGGAGGCGCAAAAGGAGAAAGCAAAAAAAGGATTTAAAGAAAATTCAGAGGCTGGGGATTTAGCTCAGCGGCATAAGCACCTGCCTTGCAAGCAGGCAGTCCTGAGTTCAATCCCTGGTACCAATAAAAAATCAAACAAACAAACAAAAAAATTCAAGGGAAAAATGGAAATAGAACTTTTACAAAAGGAGGGGAAGAAGAGTTGTAAAGAAGGGAGGGGGAAGGAACAAAAAAAGAATTGAGACGTGTTATGTACATGTATAAATTCCCCATGATGAATGAGTTCTTTATGTACGGCATTTACTAATAAAAAATATTGTGTATAAAAGCTCCAAAACCAAGTATTATACTTAATTGGCAAAAACTGAAAATTAAATAAAAAACTAAATATTGTTAAATCTTTATTGTGACTATGCAATATTTTGTTTTATGGCCTGCATATTTTCACTGAGGTAACTACCCCTCTTCTCTTTTTCTGAGACAAGATCTCCCTATGTAGTTCAGGCTGGCCTTGAACTTGCTGTAATCTCCTGGCTCAGCCTCCTGAGTACTGGGATTACAGGAATGTACCACGCCTGGCAAAAACCTCTTTCCTTGTCTTTCACTACCACAAACCAAAGCCAAAACAGTAACAACAATAAAACAAATAAGACTGGTAAAGATTAAAATAAATTCATGCCCGGTACCGATAAAAAGGAAAAAGACAAAAAAAAAAAAAAATTCATGACAAATAATAGAAAGTCCTGTAATATTTCATTTGTTTGTTTTGAGAAAAGGTCTGGCTATGTAACCCAGACTGGCCTTAAAACTTTCAATCCTCTTGCCTCAGCCTCCTGAGTGTTAGGGTTACAGAATTGTGCAGCCATATCCAGCTCCTAAAATATTTCTCATAAGAACTGGAAAGAAACCAATGGTGACTATATATTAAAGCACTTTTGTTTTGGAGGGATCTTTTTGCAGTATTGGGGGTTTGACCCAGGGCTTCATGTATGATATGAAAGTGCTGTGCCACTATATCCCAAAGTCTTTTTGTTTAACCAAGTTGCTAAGTTGCCCATGCTGGGCTTGAACTTGTGATCCTCTTGCCTCAGTTTCTCAAGTAGCTGGGACTACAGGTATACACCTCCACATTCAGCTTGAAGTACTTCTTGATTTATGGAATTCTGATTCAGTTTGTTAAACAAAAGCTAATGAAATTATCACCTCCAAGACAACAGGCAAAGAAACAAGTACCTATTTGAAAGAATAAGACCATTAGTTAGTTACAAAATTTAATTATAAGAATCCACGAGTCGTTATTGGTGGAACCAATTCACACCAACAGCTCTGAAGAGTGCAGATGCTAGTTTTTAAATAAAGGTGACAAATACTGATTATATTCCCATAATAGTGTTTGGGATCTACATAAAACTTGATTCTGGACATAGTTCATTATACAGGGCTAACAGAACAACAAGGAAATCACCAACAATTACAACCAAAGGTGTAATTTCCAAAGCATTTTTAGTGAGACAGTAAGTCTATTCTAACTTTTTAAACATATAAAGCTAGGTAAAACTCAAATCTATTTTTCTACCTGAGATCAAAGTAAGTTTTCTGTTTTTTATCTAAACATAATTCTTAGCATTGAGGTAAATCTGAATTCACATATTTCGTCAAACTTTTCCAAAAACAATTTAAGCTTGCTTTAAAGATTCTCATGTTACAAATATATATTTACATTTTTTCTTCAAACACTAATGACAATCTTATGTGGTTAATAGGTCTATAATGGGACTGTGAAACTATTACCAATATGAAAATAAAAAGCTACTCATCTGTACAAAGTGATCCTGCATGTGCAATATGAACTGGGGTCACAGAATCTATGTACATGCATAAATTTCTAGAATTCAAAATGCTTTAAATTCACTATGCAGCCCTGCCTGGCCTTGAACTTGTGGTGATCCTACCTCAAGCTCCCAATTGCTGGGATTACAGGTGCATGACACCATGTCCAACTAAATTTACATGAAAAAAACTGTTTTATTCTACTCTTTGTGGCAGAGGTTACAAACTTGTGATGTAGGACAAAGATACTATGTATACAAGTTCCAGAACCAAGCCCTAACCTTAACTGGCAAACACTGCAACTTAAATAAAAACTAAACAAGACTAGATCTTTATTGTGGCAATGTAATTTTTTGTTTTGTGACCTGCATACTTTTACTGAGGTAAAAACCTCTTCTCTCTTATCCTTCACCTACTACAAACTAAAGCCAACAAATAAAAACAAAAAATACTTCCACAACTGCCTTCTTTACGGCTGTCTTTGGCAATGCTTCCAAAATGTGAAAGCAAAAGAACCTGCTGAGGTGAAGAGGATGATATTTCTCCTTTCTTACTCGATGTGACGTGTGAAAATCAATCTAAGAGTATGAATAGAAAACAAACAGTGAAGGTTGAGCGGTAGTCTACCCTCAAGAGAAACAGCAAATAAAGTAGGGAGGTTGTTCCTCTACTGGCCCTTCTACATTACCTCCCAATTAGCACAGTGTAAGATCAAAATTTCCAACTCTGAAAAGGTGTGGGAGGAGCAGCTAGAGAAGTGAATAAATGCTAATGAAGTACAGCAATAGCTTTAGCTGTCAATGAGTTTCTTTGCTCTGGTATTGGCAATGTCAATACGATCTTTGTTGGCTTCCACCTGAAAAAAAAGCAAAAGATAATAAGTATTACTTCATAAGGCAAGTCATTTTAATAAAAATAAAGTTTAGGCTAGGGATATAGATCAGTGGTAGAGTCCACACTGTGCAAGTGTAACCCACACTGGGTTCAATCCTCAGCACCAGGGGAAAAATATTAAACTTTATAAATTTGGAACACTTGACACACTGAGAGAATACAGGAAACACTTAAAGTCACATTATAAAACTCATTTTGGTAAGAAGTGACAGAAATGGAAATTCATTAGGGAAACCCTAGTATATAAATACAACAAAGATATAACAGAAGAATTCTCCAGTATTTTATCAATCTTTTTTTTCCCCTTCACTTTTTGAGAGAGGGTCTTGAACTCACTATATAGTTCAGCTGGCCTTGAAGTCACTATGTAGCCAGGCTAACCTCAAATTCACAGCAATCACCCTGCCTTAGCCTCCCAAAGTGGGAGGGATTACAGTTATGTGCCCCCACATCCAGCCCAGTATTTTATCAATTCTATAACGCATTTTTTCATTGTCTGACATGTCTGAAACTAAGATACATCTTATAGTCAGTGGGTGTTGTAATTTTTAATTTATTAAGAAGGGTATAAATATATAGCCCAAGCTGGCCTTAAATTTGCAGGGATCCCCCTGCCTCAGCCTCCTGAGTGCTGGGATTTTAGGTGTGTACCATCATGTCTGGCTTTTTTTGTTTGTGTCTTTTTCCTTTTTCCTTTTTTATCGGTACCGGGGATTGAACTCATGACTGCCTGCTTACAAGGCAGGCGCTTATGCCGCTGAGCTAAATCCCCAGCCCCTAACCATGTCTGGCTTTAAAGTGTGAAATTTTAAGCAACAAGAAGCCAACCCCTCCATGCAAGTCAGCGCCATGCACAGGCCACTGAGAGGAGAAGCAGAAGCCCACCCTTTTCTGTGAATCGGCACCATTTGTAGACTGCAGGAGAGAACAATGACAGCTATTGAGGTAAAATTAAGTTAATACTTGTAGTGTTTAGTGTTTCATTTTTATAGGCCAGCTTTGCAGGCCGAAAGCGGATAGTCTGATCATCTATTCAGAGGAAAACAATGCACAGTGTAGTATCTATGGGGTGTCTCCTTCTGAAGATGGCAGCTATTAATTCCCAATTATCTTGTTTTGAAGTCCTTTATCATTTTTATTGTTTTATTTGGTTGGGTTTTATTCTGTTTTGTCTTGATTTTATTATATCTGATGGCATGGGCAGCTATTTCAAAGACAACGATATATTGTAGTAGCCATTTTGGATTTACTACCATCTTGGTTTTTTGGGGTTTTTTTTTTGTCTTTTTCCTTTTTATCGGTACCGGAGATCGAACTCACAACTCCCTACTTGTAAGGCAGGCGCTTATGCCTCTGAGCTAACTCCCCATCCCCTACCATCTTGTTTTGAAGTCCTTCATTGAGCTCATTGTATTGTTTTTTATTATGTCTGAAGATATATGGGCAGCTATTTTGAAGACAAGAGGCATTATGGTAACCAATGTTGATTTCCCATTATCTTGTTTTGAAGTCCTGTGTCATACTGTTTTGTTTTGATTACCTTTATGCTGTTTCATTTTGGTTTTATTCTCTTTAAAAATAAAAATTACAAAAAATAAAAAAATGAAGTGTAAAATTTTGATTTAACTCATCTAACACTGAACATAATTTGTTTTTCAGTATCTTTTTTCTTTTGAGACAGAGTATCACCACATAGCCAAGGCTGGCCTTGAATTCATGGTGATCCTCTTGCCTCAGCCTCCCAAGTGCTGGGATTACAAGCATCAGTATCTTTTTTATCATGTAAAGTTAAAACAAGGAATCATAATTTTTCTTTAGGATTATTTTGTGTCTACTGTACAAGGACTATTTTACAGAACTGCTTCTTGCTCTTTTCTGAGATGTGAATTCTGGCACTTATTACTCAGTTAGTACTTAACACAATAAAACTAGCCAGGTGTGATGGTGTGCACCTGTAATCCCAGCACTCAGGTGGCTAAGGCAGGAGGATCACAGTGAGGCTTACATAATGCACTCAAGCCAGCCTAAACTGCATAGAGATATATCTTACAACAAATTATCAAGCAAACACTAAAAGCTAACAGTCACTGGTGAGGTGTGGGGTAAGACACACTCAAAGGCCACTGTAAACTCTAAGCTTTATGTGCCAAAGTTTAAATAAAACAACTTCATTCCAAGACTGAGGCTTCAAAATGAACCAAGTGACATGAGATGGGATGACTTGGCTTCTGCTTCTTCAGTGTATTAGAAGCTCTTCACCAAAACTCATCCAAACTGTGTGTCCAATAAACACAACAATGTCCCTCCTGCTGTTCTCCCCTACTGTACCTGTCACAGAGCATTCCTAAATGTTTACTGAGCTGAATGTCTCATTTTCTTGTGGTCATAAAAGGGTTTTACCTTTTTTGTGATTGAGTCTATTTGTCGATTTTGAGCATCAATTTCATTGCCCATGTCCAAGGCCAAGTTCTTTAGATTTCCCAGGATATTGCCCACTTGGGTCAGGTTCTCCTCCATCTCCTCCTCTTTGGCGTCATTGGTTATACTACCACAAACAGACAAATTAGTTCAGTACTTCTTATTACAATGTAATGGTCTCATTCTGAGTATAATTTTCCTAAAAATAATAACCAAAATCACGTCAACAAGTGTTAAATTCAAGGAGAAATAGGCTATTCGTCTAGGAAAATACTATATGGTTTAAAACTGTGATTCTTAGTGTCACCTAGGCATCTGTTAGACACAAAAATAAGCTAGATAATCATATCTCACCCCGGAACTGCTGAATCAGAAACAGTGGATCCACAATCCTCCTGCCTTAGCCTCCCAATGCTGTTCACTCTGTTTTAATAAATCCTCAAATGATTATCTTTTCTTTTTGGTGGTGCTGGGAATTCAACAAGTCCTTGAGCACACTAAGTAAGTGCTCTGCCATTAAGCTACATCGCCAACCCACTTTTACTTTATTTTGAGTCACGGTCTTGCTAATTTGCCTTGAACTTGTGATATGCCTGCCTCAGCATCTTGAATAGTTGGGATTACAGGCATGCAACACCACAGCTGGCCCTCGAATGATCTTAATGCAGGCTTAGATCTAAAAAAACATGGCTCTGAAATAGGTTAGAAAATCATGGCCAGAGGGCCAAATCTTGCCCTCAATGGGGATGTAGCTCAGTGGCCTAAGTGCCTGCAGGGTGAGCACGAGGTCCTGAGTTCAATTCCCAGTACAAAAAAAAGTTGTGGTTTTTTTTTTTTTTTTTTTTTTTTGTCTTTTTCATTTTTATCGGTACCGGGGATTGAACTCACGACTACCTGCTTGCAATGCAGGTGCTTATGCGGCTGAGCTAAATCCCCAGCCCCCAAAAAGTTTTATTCAAATATAGCCTCTCAGTCTTTTGGCGTCTTTCTCTTTCTCTCTCTGAGACAGAGTCTTGCCATATGGTCTGCCATATAGTTCAGACTGTCCTTGACTCACAGTGATTCTCTTACCTCAGCCTCCCAAGCGCTACAATTTCAGGCATGCACCACCACACCAGGTTTTTGTTACTTTTTTTTTTTTAATACATGTCTGGCTGCTTTCATCTTATAAGAACTGAGTTAAGTAACTGCAAAAAGACTATATAACCTGACAAATCTGAAATGGTTACTACCTGGCCCATAACCAATATCTTTACAGAAATATAGCTAATCCTTGCTCTAGATAAAATATCTTGAAACTTATTTTCCTACTTATAAAGTAAACAGGTCTACATTAACACTTTGAAAAGTACAAATTTGGACAACAACCACAGTCAACATTTTGTCAGATGGCAGGTAGATAAAAGTAGTTCTAGTGGAATAAATATTATTTCTATCGGGTGACACAGGGTGTATATTCATAGCTCCTAAGTGAGCCAGGACTCACTAGGAAAGGTACAGAAATGTGGAAGACGTACCGTTTAATGTATCCACCACTGACTGCTCCAGTGGCTGGCTGCTGGGGCTGCCCATTTGTGACTCGGGCTGGTTGCTTGGATACCACGTTGCTAGGTGAGTTGCCTCCCCCTTCTCCCCATGCTGCCTTATAGGCCTTGCCAGACTCAAAGTTCTTCGTCCTGTGGAAGAGTCAGGAGTGCAGAACCCCAGAAAGCAGAAGAGGGACAGGTGTAATTATTAACGTTCATCACCTTAAGGATGTCACTTAACACCTTTGGCAGAAAAACTATGCACAGCTAAATCTAGATTATCTATGCCTCCTGACAAGGTAGGACAAGAAAAGGATTAACTATGTAAACTCATTGATGTTAAATTTTTTTTAAAATAATTTTTATTTTTTGAGACAAGGTCTCATTATGTAGTTCAGGCTGGCCTCAAACTCACAGTGATACTCCTGCCTCAGCCTTCCAAATGCTGGGATTACAGGTATGTGCCACCACACGTGGCTTTAAATAATTTTTAAAAGGTCCAAATATTTACTACCAAATCTTTACTAAGCTATAGCAAGTAGTAAAATGCAAATATTTGATTTTTAAAGTTCTTTGGCTTAAAGTTTTAAAGGAATGTCATGGGATGTCATGAGGTTCTTGGACAGCAACTGTTGAGTATTTTCATGTATTATCCATTGGTTTAGCCAATTTATATGTATTCTGTATTAATGATGGGCCCCCAGGAAAATTCTAAAGCAGAGTAATGGTACATAATGTAAACGATATATTAGCTTATCAGAAAGTAAGTAACTTTAAGCTTTCACTTTAATTTCAGAGCTGAAAGACTGAACCTAAAACCTCACACTTGCTAACCATGTACCCTATCATTGCGCCACATCCCCAGAGTGGGGTTTTTGTTAAGACATCAAACTGGAACAGATGGAAGATAGAGAGTTTGAATTCAAAGTGAGTAAGGAGACAGTAGGTTTTTCAGTCTTAGCAAAGAGTAGATTGAGGCAAGACTATCTTAGGCCCCTGATCTATCAAGGTTCCAACCTTGACTCTAACCCATAGCTTACAGTTCATGCCTGTTAAGTGTACAGATTAACAGTGAGTACGTTATTTCTTCATCCACTGATACACCTTAGCTTTGAGATCTATTTGTAGCTGAATACGTAATTAGAATACGGCCACATAAGGAACATCTAGGTCTAGGCTGTTTTAAGAAAAAATGGTTCTGACCTGACGAGACTTACAAGATCAAATTTACAGCCCCTTCTGGGAAAGAATTAACCTATGTGATAAAATGTTTAATCAAATTGATGATGAATTTTAATGAGATAATTCTATCTGAAAAGGTAGAGATAAAGATTCAAGATTTATACCTGATTGTTACTTTCCAGAAATCTAATTTTTTTTTGAGTACTGGGGATTGACTCCAAGGCTTTAATGCTGAGCTACATCCCCAGCCCTTAGTTATTTTTTGAGACAGGATCTTGCTACATTGTCCTGGTCAGGATCAAACCTGAAAGCATGTCAGAGTGCTGGGATTCCACATCCAGCTAGAATCTAATAATCTTTAGCTATCACTTTTTTTCACTTAAATGTCTCATTAAGAATGATAAAGCCCTTTAAAAGAAAATTTTAAATATCCCTTAATGATAGGGGCTAGGGATTTAGCTCAGCGGCATAAGCGCCTGCCTTGCAAGTGTGTGGTCGTGAGTTCGATCCCCAGTACCGATAAAAAAGAAAAAGACAAAAAAAATACCCCTTAATGAACTCAAGAAGCAGAAAACAAAGTTATCAAGACATAAGCGCAAACTTTTTTTTATTAGTTCTGGCTGCCATCATTAGCACTGAATAAAAATAACAAAAGGAAAGCCAAATATTATTATTATTATTATTTTTATTAAGGAGAAAGAAAATTATGTAAATATTAATTATAATATGAGGGAGGGAGGGGGAAGAAATTATATATCACAGTATTAGATAATTGAGTTATAGGAAAGGAAAAAAAGGCAGAAAATAAAGGGTTCATTCAGAAACTTCATTTTAAAAAATTTAATCAGTCTTTTATAATTCTCATAAAGATCTAAAATCAAAGAGGTAAGACAATACAGTATACAGTAAAGTAACAGAGTTAACTCATGAAAAAATTAGGAATCGTTAGCCCTGTATCAACTCAACACAAAATCATAGCAAGCTAACATGTGATATAACAGAAATTATGGAACAATTGTAATGTATAGAAGGGGCATCTTCATTTTTATGTGATTTAATTATTTTTGAGACAGGCTCTCACTATGTAGTTCACATACATATAAAGGGGATTATATAATATGAATTATAAAGTGAGAGGGTAAGAGGCCTTGAGCTCACTATATAGCCCAAGCTGGCCTCAAACTCAAGGTGATCCTCCTTCCTCTGCCTCTCAAGTGCTGGGATTATACATATGTGCCAAGAGATCCAGCAGGAATATTTATTTTAAAAAAGAAGATAGTACATATGTCAACATTTAAAATTTATATCCCACCTTACTCTGAATAGGATTTAGGATGACTAGATTGTCAATTTCTTGATTTGGTAGTGGCCTAAATCATGGGGAATTTCAATTATTAGAAGCAACACTTTAAGAAAGAAAATCTTGATTCAGGAACCAGAAATCAAAATTTTATTGAGAGAGAGGCATTCAGTCTGAATTTTTTTACCTTTGATAAAACCTATATTGCAGCCACTATCTACAAATACCAACCTATTTTAAATTTAGAAAACTTGAGAAGTGTTTTTATTTTGGTATTAGTAGAACCATTAGCCAAAGGGAATTTTTATACACTAAGATTCTGTCAAGTTCACCTTTTGTCAGCATCCATGGAGAACAAATTCATTTTACATTTCACAGCACAGTACAGCACAGTACAGCACAGCACAGCACAGCACAGCACAGCACGATTTCTTGATCATTCACAAAACCACACACATACACAGCAAAGCCAGTAGAGCATCACCTTGAAAGAGCAGGTTAGCAGCCCACACTGCGCCACAACGGCATCTTAAAGTTCCCTTTCATCAGTAATTGAGCCCGGCTTCTGATGTTAAATCTTCATTTTAGTAAGCAGATTAGAAAGGAAGAGATTAGGTGAGAGAATGAGACAAAGAAAACAGTAAATGCCAGTCAAACGGAACAGAAGCAGATTTAAAAACGTAACACACTCCAATTCCTGCCTGATTTTACAGAAGCAACCCACAAATGAGAATCTAGATAAAAAAGAAAAATGATAGAACTATTTAACAGAAGAACTATTTAAACCAAAGCACATTTCATTTTCCCTCAAAATGTTTAGGTGATGATATCCCTTCCTAAAATTATAGAAATATGAGAGAAGACAAATATGGCAACATTCACTTCTTAGGGAACACAGATTTCTCTTAAATTACTATTACATATTTTATTTGCGTTATAGTTTTTAAAAATCTTTATGTCTAATTTTCCCACCAGCAAACAAGTTTCTCAAGAACAGTCTATTCACAAGTATTTCCTGAATATACATCAGACACCATGTGAAGCATAAAAAGATAAATTATAGGGGCTGGGGGTTTAGCTCAGCGGCATAAGCACCTGCCTTGCAAGCAGGCGGTCGTGAGTTCGATCCCTGGTACCGATAAAAATGAAAAAAGACAAAAAAAAAAAAAAAAAAAAAAAAAAAAAAAAATCAAAAAAAAAAAGATAAATTATAAACAAACAGACAGGGCCACAGGTATACCTTATTCATCTTTGTATTTTCAGTAAGTAGGACAGAGGAAGCACTTAATTGTCAAATGAAATATAATTCAGTATTTATTTTAATCACGCACAGCTTAAATTTTGCAGTTCAACATGACCAAAGATTAGAATAGTAGAAAACCTATAGTACAATTTTGAACTTCATTTCAAATGACCCAGAAATATTCATTTTGCTTCAAATTATATACCATTATGTAACAGACATTTGTTTTTTCTGCAAGCTAGATACTGAACCCAGGCCTATACTCACTGAGCCATACCCCAAATGCTTTCTTCAATTTGAAACAAGTCACTAAGTTGCCTAGGCTGGCCTCAATTTTGCAATCCTTCTGCCACAACCTTTTAAGTACCTGGGACTACAGGCTTGTGCTACTGTGTCCAGCTCTATATTAATAGACTTTAAGTCAGAACAGCTTGATAAGAATGGTTTAACTAGGATATTAGTTTACTACTCTGCAGTTTACTACTCTGAGACTTTCCAGTCTGTCCCTTGGTGAGACTGAGGGAGAAGGATCCCAAGTTTCAGAGCCAACCTGGACAATTTAGTGAGACTCTGTCTCAAATGACAACAACAAAAACGGCTTGGGATGTATAGCTCAATGGTACACGTGAGAGCCCTGGATTCAGTGCCCAATACAACAACAACAACAATAAAAAAAGAAAAAAAAATATGCATAGGTATGGTTAGGGAAAAAAAAGAAAAAATATATAAAAATAAGGAACAATTCTTGTGAGAGAAAAAAAAAGGATCTGGGGCATTTTACTTTTAGACTCCAAATGTGGCAAGTTAACGTATGTTTTCTTTTTAAAATTAGGGTTTTGTTTTGTTTTTTTGAGACAGGGTCTCCCTACGTAGCCCAGGCTAGCCTCAAAACTCATAGTGATCCTCCAGGCTCGAGTACTGGAATTACAGGCATGCAACACCATACTTGGCTCGCTCTTCTTTTCATGGTACAGGGATTGATCCCAGGGTCTTCTCACTGAACTACATACATCCCTACCCCCGTGAAACAGGGGCAAGTCACAAACTCAGTGATTCTCCTGCCTCAGCCTCATGACAGGCATGCACCACCACACCTTTATTTTTTATTTTGACACAAGCTTTTGTTAAGTCACTAAATTACCCAGTCTGGACTCAAATTTGGGATCCTCCTGTGTCAGACACAATAACATTTATCTACAATTTTAAACTTTAATCCTGGTAGTCTGTTATTAAATTCTACTAGTTCTTTAGGAAAAAAAAATCAGTGGCAATTCAATTTTTTTTTCTAAATAAAGCTACTCCTATTTCTTAAATGAAAAGATTTGCTTCAGTTATTCCACTAAACAGACCTCAACAACTACATGTCAGTCCAAAAGAGAGAAGCAATGGAGAGAGAGGTGGGAAGAAGGAGAAGGGAGGGGAAGGAAAAAGAATTAAGATTTGACATTTACATGTGCCAACTCTCTACAAGGACTGGAATCAAACGTGAACTCAAAAATATTTTCAAAAAAAATTTTTTCTTTTTTGAGATGGGGTCTCACTATGCAGTTCAGTCTGGCCTTGAGCTCACTTTGTAGCCCAGGCTGGTCTCAAACTCGAAACAATCCTCCCACCTCATCCTCCGGAGTGCTGGGATTACAGGTGTGAGTCACCACGCCCGGCAATTTTTTCAAAAATTTTAAATGAGTCTGGCATGGTGGCACATGTCTGTAATCCCAGCATTTGGGAGGCTGAGGCAGGAGGATCACTTTGAGTTCGAGACTAGCCTGGACTACATAGTGAGTTCAAGGCCAGCCTAGACTATATAGTGAGACCCTGTCTCAAAATGAACATTTTTTAAAAAATGAAAATAAATGAGAGGAAAAGGACACACACATGGACGCACACTTGTAATCCCAGCACCCTTGGAAACTAAGACAGGATTTCAAACTCAAGTCCAGCCTAGGGAACTTAGTAACTTAAAAGACCCTATTATAAAAAAATAAGAAGGGCTGGAGATAAAAGATAAACCCAGTGTGAAGATCTGGGTTTAATCCCCAGTAATGAAAAAGAATGAAAGAAATGTTGGGGTAGCAGACAGACAGACAATGGGCCTGTGTTGTTAGTACTACCAGTTCTGTAATCCTAGTACTTGGGAGACTGAAGCAGGAGGATCGCCATAGGTTTGAGGCCAGCTTGGCCTACATATAGTGAGTTCAAGACCAGCATGAATTATATAGCAAGACCATGTCTCAAAAAACCATTAGTCATCTTTAAACTGAGACATTAGTCTCCCCTTTTCAGGAAGCAACTGCTGCTATGGCAGCTCCCTGATTTAATCAGTTAAGAAATGCCCTCTTCGGACCCACTAAGACAGGGTACTACTGAGGGCAGAGGCTGTAGACTGCTTCATGACCATACTTGACCTCCACTCCCACCTATGTCTAAGAAAAGCTTGCCTCTGCTTGGCTGAGATGTACAAGAGAAAGAAAATTACTGCTGCTGTAGCTCTATTTACACATTTCTATATTTGTAACCATTTTAGGACTCATGGCTTTTCCTTTTATCAATCCAGGACCTAAAATTGATTCTACTCTATAAACTCAAGAGAGGATTTCTTCCTTCCTTTTCTTCTTGTAATAACTGGTCCCTAAGGGGTTGGGGATTTAGCTCAGCGGCATAAGCACCTGCCTTGCAAGCAGGCAGTAGTGAGTTCAATCCCTGGTACCGATAAAAAGCAAAAAGACAAAAAACAAACAAAACAAAACAAAACAAACTGGTCCCTAAGAAATTCGTGTACTTTCTCCCTCTTACTCTTAGCAGACGGAACATGGAAAACAGGCGAAAGGCATAACATGTTTGCAAAATATGGCTAACAGTTTGAAATCTATAATCTGTGCATTTGCTAGGCAAGGTGGCACACACCTGTAAGCCAGTGCTTATGAAACTGAAGCGGGAAGACTGCAAATATCGGCTCCAGTCAAGGCATGGAGCACCCAGTTTGCCAGTGGTGGCATTGTTCTTAGAGAAAATTCAGCTCAGCATGAGTGCTGTTGCCCTTGGCAAACACAGGATGTCATAAAAAGAGAAAAGGTGGAGCATGAAATCTTCCAAGCATCAGGACATCTGAGAACTTCCATACATTTACACCAGACGCCCTGAGGACTTTGACCACTGAGCCACTGGACATTTGAAGAACTTTGACCTCAGATCTCCTTACTTGAAGTCCGTGACCCACTTACCAGACACCTTGCCTGATCTACCCACTTGACCCACTTTGTCTAAGACCAATAAAACAGGCTCCAATTTTCTCTGTACCCTCCTCCCCAACAAATGCCTCTTCCATGCTCTGTCTGCCTGCACTGAGGCACAATAAATCTCATGCCATATTGCCTTTACACAGGCCTGACAGTCTGCTGGTCTCTGACTTGCGCTATTCCTTATAGCCACAAGTTTGAGGTCAGCCTGGGATACATAGTGACTTTAAGGCCAGCCTGAACTACATAGCAAGACACTGTTTCAACAAACCAAAACCAAACAAAACCACTGCCTTTATAACTTGTTAGATGATTATGTAACCTTAACTGATACGTCACAGCTATTAAAATACGGATTTTCAGAGAGTCAACCAAGATCTAAACAGATCAATCTACCTGTATTAAGATAGAAATTCAACAGACCAGGTTAGGAAGAACATTGTCAAATCTTAATTTCTAATGACCAAAACAAAATGTGAAGTTAACCAACTAGCAACTTAACACTATTTATCTAATAGAAATGACACAGAAAATGTTATATGACATTGATCTGAAAATACAATGATTTATCAAAAGCACTCCCATTCTTAACTGCTTTGAGGAGAAAAATGCTGAGAGTTATAGACCTCTGAGTGGGACTCTTCATTTACCAGATCACTTGAGACAACTGGATGCAAATACTGATGCCTATGAAGCTCTTCAAAAACAAACCCTTGTGCTGGGGATTTAGCTCAGCAGCTCAAGCACTTGCCTAGTAAGTGTGAGACTGTGAGTTTGATCCCCAGTACCAAAAACAAAAACAAAACAAACAAACAAACAAAAAAAGCTAATGTTGAAAAGAAATCCTTTCACAAGTAAGTATAGTCACTCACTTTCCAGATATTGTCATTTCAACTACATGTAAAGTTCAAAATTGTTTTGTTAACCATTTTTTAAAAAACAGATGAACAGAAGAGAATGGTTAACTCCCTCAGTCCAACTTCATCTACATCTGATAATAATATTTGTCAACATTGTGTAAGTAAAAAATATAAAGTCATTAATTAATAGATTGATTAATTAATAGATTAATTAAATTCCTTTGTATCAAGCATAATCTCATATGGTATACATCAACAGTTGGAAAACCTTGTATCTCCTAGTTTACTAGAGACTCCAAATCTCCACCTGCCTTTGATTCTTCCCTCTTATGGTGCTTATAGTCAGTTCCCTCTCATATTGCTTATATTACTTATGTAATAATAAATAATAATAAATTATAAATAATAAATAATAATAATAAAATCTACCTCCCAAGTCTCATCCTTGATTGCAAAGGGTTTTTAACTAGCTCATGGGGTAAGGTCATACAGTTCAATTTTGTTTCTTCTACTACCTGCTTCTTATTTTCCACTTCCCATCTACATGATTAGCTGAGTCAAGCTCTTCTTTACTGTTTGTTTACTCTGAATATTCCACAAGAAATTTTTCTGGGAGTTGCTCACTCCCTGGGGATTGAACACAGGGCCCCACATGGCCCCCTATATTCCCCAGGGGCCCTCTTCCTTCATGTTCACTCAAAGCCCAGGACATGTCCTCCCTCCTCTATGATACGTTCTCTACTTGACTTTTATCAGTTCTGCACTTTAGTCAGTATCACATGATCTAACACCAGATTTATGTGCCTTTTGCTATTCCTTCTCATATATCCAAGCACATGACAAATCTTTTAAAGACAATGCCCAAATCCTTCACTTCCTTGGCCATTTCTCATGTGCATATGGCATAATAGTCCAGGCCAAAGTATTCCTACTCCTTGTTTGAAAGTAAAAGATACTAACTCCATCCTGTTCCATATCATCCAGATGTATGTATTTCCCAACTCTTCCATGCACAAATTAAAATTGGGATTTCATTATAGGCAAGCCTGTTTAAATTTATGGCTTGCCTATGAAAAGCTTACTCTTCCTGAAGGAGAACGTTTTTTGCCCCCCATACTGAGAATGAACCTTCCCACTGAACTACACCTTATTTTTTTTTTTCTTCAATTTTTTTCCAAGAACTGGTTGAGACAGGTTCTTGCTAAGCTGCCATTTACCAAGTTTGAGCTCCTCCTGCTTGCAGTCCTCCTGTTTCATTCTCTCAAGAATGCTGGGATTGGGGCTGGGGATTTAGCTCAGCGGCGTAAGTGTCTGCCTTGCAAGCAGGCAGTCGTGAGTTCGATCCCCGGTACCAATAAAAAGGAAAAAGACCAAAAAAAAGAATGCTGGGATTACAGGCATACATCACCATGCTTGGCTGAGAACTTTTTTTGGTAGTATTGGTAATTTAACCCAGGGCCTTTGCCCTGGGTTTCATCTCTAGACTTTTTTTTTTCTTTTTTTGACAGAGGGTCTTCCTAAGCTGCTAAATTGACAAGGCTAGGTTCAAAATTGTGATCCTCCTGCCTCCGACTCCCAGAGCACTGAGATTATAGGCATATACTACTGTGCCAAGTTGAAGGAAAAATATCTTAAATATATCTATATCAAAGTTCCTCATTTAGGTCTAATTATATTTCTGACCTTATCTGGGGAAGAAACCTGTGGGTACATCTATTATCCCCTCCCACTCTCCCTCTTTTTCTTTCAAAAGGTGATGGCTTATCAACTTACCTGTTACATGGACAGACACAAAGGCCACAGCACTTGTTGAGTTCTGTTAAAGTCTTCTCTGTCTCTCTCATGTCTTTATTTATCTGGTCCATGCCTTCTTCTATGCGGTTTAGTTGTTCTAAGAATGAGTTGTGGGAGTTAAGTTTCGTGTTATATTACATTCTCAAACCATATATCCTATTATTATAGAGCTTAGATTTAACCTTAAATCTACCAATAACCTGCCAAGTTGAATATGTCAGTGCCATAAAATATTACAAACCATTCAACACGAAAGAGTCTCTCACATACTGATCCTGTAACTGAATTGATCATTTGATTCATCTTGCAACCCTGATTTGACCTCTTCTTGTAGAAAGATCCATTCTAAAGGAAGTTTGTACCAGGTATGGTGGTGCATGCCTGCAATCCTAGTGCTTAGGACATTAAAGCAAGATAATCACCAGTTCAAGGCCAGCCTAGACTACAATAGTGAGTTTTCATGGTCTCATCATGAACTATGTGGTGAGATACAGTCTCAGGAAAAAAAAAAAAAAAAACAGAGACAGAGAGAAGAAAAAGAAGAGAGAAGAGAAAAGAGAGAGACCAGGAGGTTGAGCTTGGGAGGGTGGTTCAGAGGGACTCTTACAACCAAGTTAAGTATACTTTGACCAGATCAAATTCCCAGTATTTCCATCACTTACTGGGCTCAAAACCTGAGGACTGGGGCTGGGGATTTAGCTCAGCAGCATAAGCACCTGCATTGCAAGTGTGTGGTCATGAGTTTGATCCCTGGTGCTGATAAAAAACCAAAACAAGGGGCTGGGGATTTAGCTCAGTGGCATAAGCATCTGCCTTGCAAGCAGGCAGTCCTGAGTTCGATCCCTGATAAAAAAGAAAAAGACAAAAAAAAAAAAACCAAAACAAACCCTGAAGACTGTCACAAGACTAATAAAAAATATATCACAACACCCATGGCCAACTCAGATACAATATTTCTTTTTTTTCTTTATATTTCTTTTTATTATTTATATACTTAGTTTTGGATTTTTTTTTTTTTTTTTTTTTTTTTTTTTTTTTTGAGACAGAGTCTCACTATGTAGTTCAGGGTGGCCTTGAACTCACTATGTAGATAGGCTGACCTCAGACTTGCAGCAATACTCCTGGATCAGTCTCTGGAATGGTGGAATAACAGATGTATGCCACCACACCTGGGTCCTTATTTTTATTTTTGGGATAGGGCTTGGTAGTTTAGGTTGGCCTTAAACTCACTATGCAGCCCAGGCTGGTCTTAAACTCACAGCAATATTTCTGCCTTAACCTCCGAAGGAATAGGATTACAGGCATGCACTACCATGCTTGATTCTAATCGAATTTTTTTTTTTTTTTTTTTTTGTCTTTTTTGAGATAGGGTCTTGCTATGTAGTTCAGGCTGGCCTTGAGCTCACTTTGTAGCCCAGGCTGTTCTCGAACTCATAACAATCCTCCCACCTCAGCCTCCTGAGTGCTGGGATTACAAGCATGAGCCACCGTGCCTGGCTGTAATCAAGTATTTCTAATGTCTTCAGAATTTAGACTTGCTTTAGGAATTAACTAGATTGCTGAGGAAGATGCAAGAATATCATAGTATTTGTAACCAATGCCCCAATATGTCATGCTGGCCTATCAAATATCTAATAGACAGCTGGGCATTGTTGTCTCTTATCCCAAACCAGCACGAAAAGTGGTATGATTCAAATAGGAAAAAAAGAAACATATTCCTCTTATCTTACAAAGGGGAGGTACTCCCAAATTTATGAGTGGAAGATTTGACAGGGTTTTAGACACTGTATGTCAAAAAGTTTCTACCAATGATTTCAACTCACCCCCTTGTTCATCCAGCAGGGTGATGGTCTTGATTCCTGCTTCCTGAGACTAAAAGAAGAGGAGAAAAGCAGATAATACAACAAAAACAAATCTAAAATAACAGAAACAAAACCTACACAGACTGACAAATAGAATCATTTAGAAACTTGGGTCATAAACCAACACACTTTAATATATTAATTCCCTAAAACAAGTCACAAAGTTATGATGAATGCATCCTCCCTGTCATACTCTAATATAGTCAGAGAGAACAGGAAAAGTCCATTAGTATACAACTTAATTTCAGCAACTTCTGGTTTCAGATAATAGTGTACTGATATGATATACTTTAACACCAACTCTGGTTCATGCTATTACAATGCTACCTATAAATTTCTGTGTTTAAGGTGACTATGAAACACTTCTTGGACAAGCATGGTAGTATATGCCTATAATCTCAGCACTCAGGAGGCTGAGGCCAGCCTAGGCTACAAAGTGAGTTCAAGACCAACCTGAATTCATAGTGAAATTCTGTTTCAAAAAGACGAAAAAACAAAGGAACAAACAAACAAAAAAATCCACTTCTTACCTGAACAGCTAAATCTAGAATTTTCCTTGTACTCTCCAGAGACTAGGAAAAAAACAGAGTTTTAACATTCTAAAATATGAAAACAAATGAAAACACAGATCATAATCCATATTCATGATGTTACTCTAATTTTAAAAATCACGAGGCCATCCTTCTCTTTAAAACAAAACAGGGCCAAGATTTAGATCAGGGGTACAAGCGCTTGCCTGGCAAGCACGAGGTCATAAATTCAATCCCCAATCCCCAAAAATAAAAAAAATAAAATAACAGAGTTGGTCTTCCTGCCAGATGCCCTTTAATAATTTAGAATTTAGATGGTAGAGTAATAGACCACATAAAAAATTAGTATTAGTATAACTCTAAATATATTATACACTATCAAGAAACAAAAGTTTAGAGTATCTTTGTTGCAAGGAACTGTTTAGAAATGACTTACCTAAAAGGAAAAAAATTATATAAATTGTTTTCATTTATGCAATTTTTCTTTAAATTGAAAAAAAAAAAAAGGTTAGTGAAGCCGGGTGTGGTGGATCATGCCTGTAATCCCAGCAGGAGGACTGGGAGGCTGAGGTAGAATGATTGTTACAAATTCGAGACCAGCCTGGGCTACAAAGTGAGCTCAAGGCTAGGGGGCGGGGTGGGGGGGCCCTGGGGATTTAGCTCAGCCGCATAAGCGCCTGCCTTGCAAGCACGTGGTTGTGAGTTCGATCCCTGGTACCGGTAAAAAAAAAAAAAAGCTTAGTGTATTATGGGACAAATGTATTTTTGATATAAAAGGCTCAGGAAAAGGCCAAAATGAGCTCTAGGAAGGCCCTGTCATTTCTCAACTGCGAAAACTGAAATAGAATCAATTACTTATTTACCTCATCAGTAAGCTGGTTAGCCCTCAGTTGAATGTCTTCGGGTGACAGATTATCCATGATGAATCAAAATTCTACCAGGTACAGTGATGGAAATGTGAATATTCTGTAAGAATAAGGATGCACAAAAGTTTGAGCAGAGTGTAGAGGTATGGAATTTATGTAATTATGAGGCAAACAGGACAAAAGAGCTGACCTAGTCACCAAAACACACACACACACACACACACACACACACACACACACACACACAGGTAAGGAATTAAGCTAACAGAGGAAAATTAGATGTTTTAGGTTAATTAGTACTTAAGATGAGATATCCTTTTCATCGGGAAAGTAATCCCTCTACTTTGGGAAGCCAATCATCACTGGAAGACAAGCTCTGAGAGACTATTAAAATAAATTCTCAGCTATATAACATTCTTCTTATACTGTCTGAACACGGGTAAGCAATAAAATAGTCAACTGAAGGCAGTGCTACACACTTGTAACCTCAGCTACTTGGGAGGCTGAAGCAAGAGGAGCTCAAGTTTTGGGGCTAGCCTGGTCAACTTTACAATTTAAATTTTAAATAAATTTAACAAGCGCTGTTGAGTGTAGATCAATGGTAGAAAAAGTGTGAGGTCTTGGGTTCAATCACTGGTGCTACCATGAAAAGAAATGAAATGAAACAAAACAAAACAAGACAAGACAAAAGACAAAAACAAAAAACAAAAAACAAAAAACACCAAGAAACCCAGAAGTTCAAGTACATTTTGCAGTAAAGTAACTCAAAGTCACATGAATGAAAAAGACACTGGAATCACTTTTTTTAAAAAAGTTCCAGAGAAAGTGGTTTACTTTTTGCTTTTAGAAAATAATATATTCCTAGAACTAAGATACTCTTAGAACTGTGTTGTCAGTTGATGAATTAGCACTTTCTTAATGCAACAGCCTGGAGGAGGCAGATGCCTGGGCCACACAGCACTGCTATGATAGGGTCCTGTACCTGCAGTGTGTACTGAGGACCAGATGGGACTTCATGCTCTGACTCCCTGGGGCCTTCCTCCTCCTTCAGCACCCACTCTCGGCTCCCTCCAATCACACCCACTAAGAAATCCAATAGGGACCCTAAGGGGGCCATGCTACTTTGGGACCAGTGTAGTGCCTTGTGGTGGTGCACGTATGTAATCCTAGCACTCAGGAAGCTGATGCAGGTGGATTGCTGTGATTTCAAGGCCACCCTGGGCTACATAATGAGTTAAAGGCCAGCCTGAACTACATAGTGAGACTCATGACTAAATCAATCAGTAAAGAAAAGACCTGGGATACAGCTCAGTGCAAAGGACCTGGGTTCAAATCCCAGTACTGCTAAGCATGAAAACAAAACATTTAGTTAGGTCTTACTCTGTACCACAACTATGTGAAATGAACAGTGACAAGTGCTTTGGGACAGATATAGGTTCTTTTTATTACATTTCCTAACTTTGTATTAAACTTTTATAAAATAATTTATCAAAGCTTTTTGTCACTGATGCACATAAAAGTATGGTTCATATTCTACATTTGTCTCCAGGCACCTAGCAATGCCTGGAGACACTGTTAACTGTCACAACTGGGGGTTGGAGATGCTACTGTCATCTACTAGGTAGAGACCAGGGAAGCTATTAAATATCTCATATGCATTGTGAAAGCCTTTCAACAAACAATGATCAGGACTAAAATGTCAAAGTACCTCACTGAACAGTCTATGGAGTTTTCTCATTGATAAGTACAAAATCTAGTTACCGAAGTAGGCACTACAAGACTGAACTCTTGGGCTAGGGATATAACTCAGTCGCACAGTGCCTGTCTTGCAAGCGTGAGATCGTGAATTTGATCCCTGGTACAAGAAAAAAACAAAACAAAATGAAACAAAAAACAAACAAAACTGAACTCTTGGTGGAGAGGGATGTGCTCTCTTCTCTTTCCATTTCTAGTGTCTATCAAGATCTGACATTAGGAACTCAGAAAACATCTACTGAGTACACAAATAAGTATCAAAACAGGCTGTCCTCTCAAAATAAATTGGCTCTAAAAGCTACACATGATAGTATCACCAAGCCTCCAAACAACTACTAGAACCACAGACCTAAAGCTGCTATTGAGTGCATATGATGTGGAACAGCCTGCTAGTCACACACAAATCTTTTGAGTTAGGATATAGTCAGAGACATGCTCCTGTCTCGTATGTGAGAAGGCCTGAGTGCAAGTCCTATCACCACAAAAATATACACAATATTTTTTAAGTCATGTTCAGTAAAATTACTACTCTAGCCATCACTTTTAATACAATCATCTTTAATTTTAAAAAATGCATTTCCAGTATATGGATTATGCTGGAGTTACTGCAAGGCAGGCATGGTGGCACACGGCTGTGACCCCAGCACTTTGGGAGGCTGAGGCAGCATTAGGCCAAGTCTGAGACCAATTTGGACAATTTGGCAACCAGTGAGACCCTGTCTCAAAATAAAAATAAAAACAGCTGGGCACCTAGCTTATTACCAATTGCAAAACTACAGCTGTTCCTCTTTAACAATCTGCCTTGCTAACAACTGTTCAGCCTTATGACCTGCTGCCAGGACTTACAACCTTGTGTATATATAGTTCTGTACATCTTGTTTAGACAGCCTCAGGTCTTTCTTTTTGTGCAGCATACCTTTATATAGTACTGTAATTTTTGCTGATTAAACAGTTTAGTACAGTACTGTAGTTTAATGTTCTGTACTACATTACAGTACTGCATGTAAGAGTCATCCAAATAAAAGCAAAGTCATCAAATTGGAGATCTCTTTGACCATTTCATTGTTCTGAATATTGTAATGTACACACTATATCCAATTCCTCATTTAGCAACCAATTCAATTAGCACCAATTCAGTTAACAACCTAGCTGCAGGAACATAACAGCCTTAAACAAGAAATGTCTGTAAATAAATAAAAAGGCACTGCAACTAGAATCCTATTTATAATTCTATCATAGCTAAATTTTTTTAAGGTTTAATTAGTGTGTGTGTGTGTGTGTGTGTGTGTGTGTGTGTACAGAGGCTCAAACCCAGGGCCTCATACATTTAATTAAGATTTTAAGCCTTGAGAAAGGTTCAAGAAAAAAAACTTTCAGTTCCAATTTTAGCTTTATATCTTTTATATCTGCGGTAAAAGCCAAAAGATTAGAACACTAAAATACATAATTGACATACAAAGGCCTAGACCAGGTGTGATGGCTCATGTCTGTAATCAGGAAGCTGAGGCAAGAGGATTGCTCTGCTCCAGGTTCAAGGTCAGCCTGAAATATGCAGAAAGAACCTGTATCAAAATAAACAAATTAATTTAAAAAGCCAGAATATCTGTTTAAAAAAAAAGAGGGCCAGGGGTATAGCTCAGCAGCACAGTGCCTGCCTGGCAAGCACGGGCTCATGAGTTTGATTCCCGGTTTAAAAAAAAAAAAAGATATAAAGGCCTCTCTTGAATTAACAACTGCTCATGCATTAGGTATAAGCACAAATAGAACCATGTGGTTTACTACTTTGCTAATCACTTATGAGACTTCAGCTTTATCACACATGTCCCATGCTACCACTCTTCATTAGCCAATCTTTTATATTTACAACAATAAACAGGAAGGGTTTTTTTGTGTGTGTGTTTGATTTTTCAGTTCTAGGGATTAAACCCAAGGTCTTTATACTATGTTCCCTTTTTTTTTTTTTTTTTTTTTTTGAGACAGGGTCCCACAAAGCCCAAGTTGAAATTGAATTTGTGATCCTTCTGCCTCATCCTCCCAGAGTGCTGGGATCACAGGTGCGTGCCATCTGTCACATTTGGCAGAAATGGAACTACATAGTAAGACCCTGTCTCAAGAAATGAAACAAAAAAACACAAAACAAACAAAAAGAAACAAAACAAAACAAAACAAAAGGATACTGAAGACTCCAAGAGTGCATATCAAAAGAAACAAAACAAAACTCCTAAAGCCACAGATATAGATGAAAATCAGTTAGGAAGTAAATGTGAAGAATCACTCCTGTGAAGACAGTGAGGTCATTCTGAAGAACACACCCTTTCAGGGAACTCAGAGATCTATTTAGTACTTCTTTTTGGGGACCAGGGATGTAGCTCAGCAACACAACACACAGCACCTGCCTGGCAAGTGCAACCTCATGAATTCAATTCCCAAAACAAAAACAAAAAAAGGTACATTCCTTAAGCAGATGACACACAAAACACAAAGCTTATGTGAAGTTCTCACACATGTGGCATGCAGAACACAGATGCTGAAGAATTCTCTACTTTGGATTCCTGAAGATATTAAGCACATGATCATGCTATGTGGAGATCAGAAAAACAACTGAATTGTAAGGGACAACAGAGACAAGAACCAACCCTCCTCAAACTCATATAAGACTTTCTAAGCTGCTTACAGGTATCAGGCATCATCTACAATTTTATTATTTATATATATTTACAGTTTTATTATATTTGTTGTTATCACCAGAAAGTTTCTTTTCTTTTCTTTTTTTTTTTTTTTGGAGACAGGGTCTTGCTACGTAGCCCAGGCTCTGGGTGATCCTCCTGCCTCAGCCTCCTAAGCCACCACACCTGGCATCAAAAGATTTCTTTTTTTTATGGAATCAGGACCATGCTACCCAGAATGCTGGGGAAAAGAATTGGTAGAGAACAGGCTGAAAACCACAATACAACCTAACACAAAGATGCCATTAAGTTTATTTTTCTCAAATTTAACCTAATAGGTTGAATATTGTATTATATTTTTAACAGCCCTGAGAATTTAATGTACTATGCTATATGCCTTTGGTGCTTTTTTTTTTTTTGTCTTTTTGAGAGAGGGTCTCCCTATGCAGTTCAGGCTGGTCTTGAGCTCACTTTGTAGCTCAGGCTGGTCTCGAACTCATAATGATCCTCCTGCCTCAGCCTCCCAAGTGCTGGGATTACAGGCATGAGCCACCACGCCCAGCTCTCTTGGTGCTTTTTTTATACACAGTTTTCCTTATGGTTTACAGCAAGTTAATCTCCCAATACTCTCAATTTAACTTTTCTTCTTTTAATTAATTTTTTTTAACCGGTACCGGGG